GCAGCAGCAGCAGCAGCAGCAGCAGCAGCAGCAGCAGCAGCATTAACCCTTTACATCCCCTGTCCTCACCCTCCCTGTCTCGCTACCAGCCTGAGGATGATGCGTAGGGCTGGAGAAGCAAGAAGGGTCGGGTAGCTCCCGGGACAACAGAGAATCCAAAAGCCGGATAATCGAAGCGGGGCTGCTGAGATGGGGAGATGAGAAGGGGAGGAGGGTTCTTGGCGGTCACCACCTGTCCCGCCGCAGCCAGGTCACAACACGACATTGATGAAGTCACGACAGAGCGGCGATGAGATCACACCTCACGATGGCGCGATGATGTCACGGAGATCACAGCAAAATCACGACATGGGGACAGCCCCCAAGGATGACGGGGCAAATTAAAACAAGATATGTATTGAAAAGGGCTGTGACAAAATGGAGTCTCGACAGGGCACGATGGTGTCGCGATATAGTGCGATGGAGTCGCGATAGGGTCCCCGGGGTGCGTCGGCATTGATGAGCGCCGGTTCGGAGACGCCCCGGCTGGGATGCAGGGGAGGGCCTGAAGGGGGCTGAGCTCACCAGGCTGCGGCCCCGAGCGTTGAAGTCTTCTGCGGGCGCGATGCTGCCGGAGCTTGGGGCCGCTGCTCACGCCGCGTTGCCCACTCCGGGCTCCGGGCTGCTGCAGCTCCACCCCCACCCCCGCATCGCCCTCGGCCAATCCGCGGCGGCTTCACTTGGGGCTCTGGCCAATGGCACGGCAGGGCGCTACGCCGTAGGGGGTGCCGCCATTGCCGCCATCTTCCTTGTGGGTATTGCCTGAGTCTGGGCCTTGGGGCACGTGCAAAGAAGGCAAGGTGCAGACTGCCCCAGGAGAGCGGGAGGCGAGAGGCTGGGGGGGTGTCCAGACTCCTTTGCTTGTGCGTAGTTCTACCTCCAGCGCTGCCCCTCCTCCCCCTCGGGCTCGCGGCTGGAATTGCGCTTCCGGAGGGTGGGGGCGGGAGGTCTTGATTAGCATGAAGAGTGTGTTTCCGGGTTGAGCCCGGGGAGGTGGGAGGAGGCGGCGTTTCCGGCCGTCGTCGCTGTCCAGGGAGGCTGAGACGAGAGGGAGCTGTCCGGGTGGGGAGCCCGCACTACCTTCTTCCTTTTCCTCCTCCCCCGGTGAGGGGAGAGAAGGTTGGGGCCCCGAGCCCATGGACTGGGAGGAGGCGGAGGCCGCCGAGAGCCGGGGCCCCACTATGTGCCCCTGAGCCCCGGTAGGTGGCCGGGGCGGCTGGCTACCAGGCCGAGGACCATGAGCTCAGGGGAGGGGCAGGTGGTACAGACGATGCCTGGGGGTGCACTGACCCGCAGTTGGGACCCGGAGGTGGAGCTCCTGGCTGGGACAGGGCAGTCAGCTGCTTCTGGCCTTGCAGTTGCGGAGCTCGAGTCCCAGACCGAATCCCGCTTCTTCTGGGCCCAGGTCTAGTCCTGCAGCTCCCTCCATTCCCTGACAGTCAATACTGACATACCGGGCTCAGGTCGCTGCCGTCCTTCTAACACCTCGACATCTGCAGCCTCTCCTTTAGCTGCTGTGTTTGATCATCCCACCGAGACTGAAAGTTGATGCAGAAAAAGGGGGGCGGGGTTGAGCATGATGTGTAAATTACAATGCGAAGCCAGCCTCGGTCAGGGTTTTGACAATTATGTCCCGCCGAGGGTCCTGTGGTGGCTGCAAGTGAGTACAGAGGTGAAGCCAAGGAAGTCAGAATAGAAACTCTCAGCGGGGTTCCAGAAATGCTTTGTCTTCTCTCACCTCGTGATAGTTGGGCTCATCGACTTTGGATGCTGTTAGTAAAGAGCATTAGTCGACTCTCCTTGTGCTTTCTTATGATTCACAGACTGGAAACTAGGAACAATTTAGAAAGACGACCTCCCAGAACAATCTGTTCATTTTTCCAGCTATTTGGAAAACAGTGTCTGCAAATATAAGCAAAGCTATTCATGGCAGTCTGTTCTGTAACTTTCCCAAATATCTGAGACTTTTTTTTTCTTTAAAGTTTTATTTTTGATTACTCACACGCGCTGAATAGGCTTTTTCAGACGTGCTCTGTCGTTGTTCAAACATATCTTATCGCTGTGTACATAAATGGAGTTCCACGTATGTAGCTGACAGACTGAACTATGATACATCCCCCATCAACCTGAAGTATTAAGTAAACATTACCCCCTGCTCTGTCTGAACAGCTGCTGCAACAGAGAGTGCTTTTATTTCGGTTGTTCTTGTAACGCCCTAAATGCCAGAACTATTGGGAGCTTTTCTAGATATTCATTTGTCAAGTATTGTGGGGGTGTGTGTTCTCTCCCTGGGTTGTTATCCTTTGATTCCATAACAAACCATTTGGATCTTGGTAATGTGTTGTTCCTGCCTGTGGTCAGCAAGCCTTTAACTGGACCCTAGCAGTGATTTGTGCCCATAGACAATTGTAGGTTTCAGTAGAAGGACTGGTTAGGTGTTCAAATAGAAATAGATGTACCTCTGTTATGCACAGTTTGTAAGATATTGCACTTCTAATCAGCTTGCTAGTCCAATGGTGTTTATTACTCCTGTTTTCAAAGCCTATTCATTTCTTTTTCTGCTTTTCCCACCCACCTGCTAGGCTATTGATGACAGGTGTTGAGTCACCTTGAGTTTTAAATCCTTTTGTGGTAGGTAGAAATGTGTTGGGTAAGATCTCTCTCGCACACACCCATTCCAGCTTGGGAGGCTACAGAAGTTGCTGGATATACTTTCTAACTTCAGCTCCATTTCATAATCTCTTGAGTGTGTCTCTGGCCCACACATCTGTCTGTCCCTGCCCCTTCCCTTCCCTAACAGAAAACTATGAAACAAACTAGAAATAGGAATTGTCTTCTCTTTTTTTTTTTTTTTTGGTGCTGGGGATGGAGCCCAGTGTCTCATGCTTGCTAGGCAAGTGCTTTAACACTGAGCTACTTCCCCAGCCCCTTGATATAGGAATTGTTGGAAACTGGACACGAAAGATGAAGTCCTTCATATAGTTAAGGCTCAGTGAAAACCTTTTCTTAGATGTGCTACACCTCAGTTTTGCAGTGGTGTGTTTATGTTTGTTTCCTGGCATTAGCTTTGAAATCCAACTCAGGTAATGCTGATCTGGATCCCTGTATGCTAGCTGGGGGTGAAAGTTAGGGGTTGTCTGTCTGTGTTGTTTGCCAGATGTGGGTGACAGGCATACATATATATTTAAAAATTTTTTTTTGGTGGGGAAATACTGAGGATTAATCCAGGACCTTACTCATGAGAGTTCCACCATTGAGCTATACCTGCAGCCCATTTAAAAAATTTTATTTTGAAAGGGTCTTGCTAAATTTGCATAGACTCTCCTTGAACTTGTTATCTTCCTGCCTCAGCCTCCTATGTACCTGGGATTACAGGTGTGTATGAGGATACCTGGCAGATGGGTACATATTTAGAAGTTTTTGTTTTTTGAGATGGGGATCTATGGTGTTGCTCAGGCTGGCCTTGAATTCCTAGGCTCACACATCCTGTTTCCTCAGCCTCCGGAGAAGCTGGTGCAAGCCACTTTGCCTAGCTAATAGATTATTGAATTACTTCTTCAGAACTATATCAACTCATAATATTTCAAGATTTACATAACAATTTATAGAATATAGCAAAGTTATGTAAGAAGGAAGAAACTTTTTTTTTTAAATTTTCCTGCTAGAAGGGACCTAAATCATCTAGCCCTTGAATTCTAGAGTAGCCAAAAAAGTGCCTGACATAAATATTTGCTGAATGTATGTATGGATTTAAGCCAGGAATTGCAGATGACTCTTGAGGATTGGGGGTAGGGGGTAACATGAAGTATAAATTGGATAGATTTTAAAGATACTAGTGGTGGGAATTGTAACAAACTGGAGAGTGACAGAGCATGCCCTAAATATGATCACATTAAAATATTTTTACAAGGGGGCTGGGATGTGGCTCAAGCGGTAGCGCACTCGCCTGGCATGCGTGCGGCCCGGGTTCGATCCTCCAGCACCACATACCAACAAAGATGTTGTGTCCGCCAATAACAAATAAATAAATAAATATTAAAAAAATATTTTTACAAGTCCCTCAAGTTTAATTAGAAGTTCAACATCTTTTCATAGATAAGAAAATGTGTTTGGTCAAAGACCCAAAGCTATTAGCAGAACTGGAACTGAAAAATCAAAGCTTTTTTTTTTTTCAGACTGATACTCTTTCTATTCTGTTATATAGATGGTTTACTGTTAGTTAGACAATAATGGAATATAAAATGTTTCAGTTTTAACATTGAATTCATTTTATATCCCTTGCTCTGTTATTCTGATAATTATAGGCTGTGCGAAAGCTCAGGCTTAAAATTTACAGGCAGGGATGTGCACTGAAAGACAAACTTGAAATTCTTCTTTCTCCTAATCTGACACATTCTCCATCATTCCACATTTCTAGGAATCAATTATTAATTACTTGGCATTTAATTTCTTCTCTTTCTGTCTTTCTAGTGTACTGGTTCTGCCAGTCTGGAAGGCCATGGAGAGGAGGCTGGGAGTCAAGCCAAGTCTCGCTTCCTGGATTTTATCAGGATATTGTTGGCAGACATCCATGAAGTGGTTGAGAAGCCAGTACCTGTTTTATACTTGCTTCTGCTTCAGTGCTCTGTGGTTGTCAACAGGTATTGTTTTCTTTATAGATTTAAGGTTAAAAAAGGGCACTCTGTGTGTGTCCCTCAGTTCATCTTAAACACTACTAAGAGGCAGAAAAACACTCTACTGATTGAAAGAAAATGTCATAATTTTGGTGGATATTTAACTTGTTGGGTTAGGTTGTTTTGTTTTGGAACCAAAATTTAAATAAAGAACTGGGGCATGATCATTTTGAGATTTGAAAAAGATGCTTTGAAAAGAAAAAGCTTTCAAAGTTGGACAGATTTGGGGCCTGGAGCTGGATGTTTCTACTTAATGACTAAGACCTTAGGCAAGTTATCTAATGTGTTTGAGGAAGGATAAGATCTACCTCATAGTTTGATTTGAAGATATTTTAATTAAAGCATGTGGTGTAGCACACTGAATGGACATGCTTAGTAAATGATACTTTGCTTCCTTTCCTAGAGGAATCTAAACTTACAGAGAGAATAGAATGTATTTCTTGCTTTTTCGATAGAAAATGCTGTGTTTCATAGAGTAGGCTTTCTTCCTCAAGATTATTTCACCCCACTAGAGCCTCTTGCCAGGAGTCAATGCCAAGAAAGCTGAATATCAAAGGAGAATTCCATTTCTGTCATTTTTTTTTTCCTCTTTCAGTTCTTTTGTTGATATGGTTCCTTTCAGAGTATGGAGTATGAGAAAACAGCAATTCGAGAAAGACTTCTGAGTGTACTGCCATTCTGGGCAATGACCAAAAGCCTTCTGCTATAGAGGTCACCCTTGGGGATAACTAATCAGACTTTTGCTCTTATAATTACAAAGATTTATGTTGCTTTCCTAAAGCAATTAGTGGTCATGATCTTAAGGGCTAAGTAATTACTGTATTTAGCAATTTTAGTAACATCAGCTTTGGGATTTTGTTGTCTTATAGTGGTGGTTGATGATTAATTGCAAAAAAGTGACCTAAATTTTATTTTATTTTATTTTTTTGGCACCAGGGATTGAATCCAGGGGCACTTTACTACTGAGCCACATTCCCAGCCCTTTTTAAAATAAATAAAATAAGAAACAGGGTTGGGCTGGGGATGTGGCTCAAGCGGTAGCGTGCTCGCCTTGCATGCATGCTGCCCGGGTTCGATCCTCAGCACCACATACAAAGATGTTGTGTCCGCCAAAAACTAAAAAATAAATATTAAAAAATTCTCTTTCTCTCCTCTCTCTCAAACATCTCTCATGTTCTAAATGAAAAAGATGAACAATAAAAAAAAAAAAAAAAAAAAGAGACAGGGTCTTGCTGGATTGCTTAGCAACTTGCTTAGTTGCTGGGACTCCTGCCTCAGCCTCCCAAGCTGGGATAATAGGTATGTGCCACTATGCCTGGTGACCTAAATGTTTTTTTTTACCCTGATGGCTTTTGTTGAATATTTCTAGGCAGCATTTTATTTAAGACCATTTAAATTAAATAAGTAACTGATTTAGCACTATCAAATTAGAAAAATAACATTTTTAAAAAAATATTTTTAAGTTGTTAATAGATCTTTCTTTCTTTCTTTATATGTGGTGCTGAGATTTGAACCCAGTGCCTCACACATGCCAGGCAAGTGTACTACCGCTGAATCCCAGCCCCAGCCCAGAAAAACAAAATTTTTGAAGTGTATCAATCAAAATTTTTGAAGTGTATAATCCTGGTTATAAACATTGCATATATTTTCCCATATATTAATTCTCATAATAACCCTAAAACAGATAGTTTTATTCTCAAATCAGGAAATTGAGGCCCAGAGAGGCAAAATGACCTGACCAAGGTCACATAGCAAGAACATGGCAGGTTTGTACCTTCTACAGCATGCTTTTTTTCTTCTTTTGTGTTGCCTTCCAACCACAGGTAATCTTTTTGAGAACTAAAAACTTTCTTTTTACCCTGAACAATGATAAGCTGCTTACTATTTGAGGGATTCAAAAAACAGGGGAGGAAAAAACAATTCTGAGTCTTTCTGTATATTTTAGTTGCACTTGGTTAAGCATACATAGTTTTGTGGATTCCTTGGGCAAGTCTTCAGTACCCTGTTAGCTTGGTGATTAAAAACAGAACCCCAGTGAGTGTAAAGATGCAAAGATGGTGTAACTAGGAGTGCTTGTGGTAGGAGTTAGGTTATACCAGTTAATCTTTAGAAAAATGTGGAGCTTCCACAATGAAAGCTGTGGGAATGTGCAGGCAACATATGACAGGCATAGTTGTTATGTGTTTTAATTTGTTGGAGTTCTTTCACACTGTTTTTTTTTTTTTTTTTTTTTTTTTTAGAAAACAATCTCCTGGTCGTGGCATACACCTGTAATCCCAGCAGTTCGGGAGGCGGGGAGGCAGGAGGATCTCAAGTTCAAAGCCAGCCTCAGCAATTTAGCGAGGTGCTAAGCAACTCAGTGAGACCCTGTCTCTAATAAAATACAAAATAGGTCGAGTGCCCTTGAGTTCAATCCCTGGTAGGCCCCCCCCCCCAAAACCACAATCTCCTAATAAATAGATAAAGAGGGTGAAGCCCAGTGGTATCAACATTGATATAAACTGAAAGTGAAATTAAAGCTGGATATGGTGGTGAGTGCCTGTAATTCCAGCTACGTGGGAGGCTGAAGTGGGAGAATTGCTTGAACCCAGGGGTTTGAGGCTATCCTGGGTAGCACAGACTATTTAAAAAAAAAAAAAAAGAAATTAGAGTGAATGTATTTAGGTTGTTCATTCTCATTAGTAACCAAAGAACTGCAGATTAAAATAAGAAGCCCTTTTTATTCTGTCATGTTAAAGTAAAAATATATAAGAGGTTGTGGTGAAGCCCAGTGGTATAGACCTTGTCTAACCTGTGCAAGGCCATGGGTTCAATTCCCAGCTCCTCAAAAAACCAAACCAAATCCAAAACAAAAGTAAAAGCATCTAGTGTTGCTAAAGGATGATGTGGTTTCCCTCATATACTGCTGGAGAATTTTAACAGAGAACTCCTTGGCATAAGTATTCAAGACCTAAAAGGTTTATATCCTTTGACTTAATTCCTCTTTCAAGAATTTATCTCAAGGATATATTCAGGTAGTTTTTCCTGAGAGTATGCATGAACACTTATTTTTTCTATGCTGCGAAACATTGCTGTAACCTGCTCAACATTAGACAGTGGTGGAATTTTTGCGTATTCACAAATTTGCAGAAGATATTTTCTAACCCCTAAATAATTTAGAAGAACAAGAACATGGAGAAATGCTCCTAATGTTAAATGACAAAAGCAAGATATGGAACTGCATTTTTACTGTACTACTAATTATGTGAAAAGAAAAATCATATATGATAGAAAACAGTCTGAAATAAGATATATAACTAAAAGTGTATATTTTTTTGAGTAGTGGAATTATTTTCACTTTATAGTCTATGTTTTTCAGATTTTTTTTTTTAGAGAGAGAGAATTTTTTAATATTTATTTTTTAGTTTTTGGTGGATACAACATCTTTATTTTATTTTTATGTGTTGTTGAGGATTGAACCCAGTGCCTCACGCATGCCAGGTGAGCATGCTACCACTTGAGCCACATCCCCAGCCCTCAGATTCTTTTTCAGTGTATTTGTATAACCTTTTTTATAAGGGAAAAAATCTATCTCAAAGAATAGCAGCAAAAAGCAATTGGAGAAGGGTTGGGGACATGGCTTAGTTGGTAGAGTGCTTGCTTCACATGTACAAGGCCCTGGGTTCAATCCCCAGCACCCCCCCCCAACCCCCCCCCCCCCCGCAAAAAAAAAAAAAAAAAGCAATTGGCAATAACCTGAGTCAGCCTGAGTCAGTGTTTATATACTATGAATATACTCAGCTTTTACCTGAACTCTTATGTTTTTTCTTGATCAGCTACATTTTTCCCCCTAGTACTTAGGATTGAACCCAGGCCCATCAGCATTTTACCATTGAGCTACATCCCCAGCACATTTAATTTTTTATTTAGAGACAAGGTCTTGCTAAGGTGCTGAAGCTGACCTTAAACTTTCCATCCTCCTGCCTCAGCGTTCTGGGACAGGTGTGTACCACTGCATCCAGCATTCAAATATATTCTTAATTGTTTGCTGTTGTTATTAAGCTCATGGATTGTAGGGATTATTCCTGAAAAAAATAACCAAAATAAGGAGCTCTTCAATTATCCCTCATTCCTGTTTACCACTTAATAGTTTACGTCTTCCTTGGTAGAGCCCCGGTACCCAATGACTTACACTTTAAGGGCTTAATTTTCATTTCTTTTTTTTGGGTTCAGTGATGAAGCTCACTGCCAGAAAGAAGTGGTTACAGTTTACTTGATAAAAGAACTCTGTTTTCCTTGTAGGCCGCTGAATTGCTATTTTTTTGTTTAATTTTACTATTAAATGGCTTGAAAATAGCATTTTGAACCTGGTGATTATCATTTGAAAACAAATGTGAGGTGGTCCTAAGAATTTAGGGATTCCTGTAGTAATCTGTCAATTTCTTGAGAACAGGGTTCTTTCCTTTTTTACTTACGCTAGGTATTCCTAGCAATTACAAGTGCTTGGCACACAGTAGATGCATCATAAAGATATTTACTCACTGAATAAATTAATAAATTAGCAATAGGGGAATTCTCCTTTGAGAATTAAACTGCAAGATCAACACTATCAGAGCAGAGGTATACAAAGGCCCTTTAAGGAGACACAATACCTTAGAGTCCAACAAGATTCGACTAAAGCCAGGTGACGTGGCACACAGCTGTAATCCCAGTGTCTCGGAGACTGAGGCAAGAGGATTATGAGTTCAAACCCAGCCTCAGCAACTTATTAAAGCCCTAAGTTACTCAGGAGACCCTGTCTCTAAATAAAATATAAAAAAGGACTGGGGATGTGGCTTAGTAGTTAAGTTCCTCTGGATTCAATCCCCAGTACCAAAAAAAAAAAAAAAAGGGGGGGGGGGTGGAATCTTAACAAATAGATTAACATATGTAAAGAAAGAATATGTATATATGAAAGGTGAAGAGGTATACATGTAGGTTTGTGGGAGATGCTAGGTCATGGAAACCTAAAATAAGGACACTAATGTAGACCTAAAACTAACAAGTGGCTATGAAAACTTCCTGACCTGCTTTTGGGAAGGAGATTACACAGTTAGTGTATTTAGGGTACAGAGGGAAAAAAATACTCAATTCAGAAACATTATTTGAGAACTTACTTGAAATCTGGTCCTAGGCTAGTCACTGGGGTGAAAAGATGGAGAGATGCTTTGCAGAGTCCTATTGGAACCAGAGAGAAGGCATTTAGCTTAGAGATGAAGGGAAGATCTGAGGAATCCTTTCCAGAGAGGCCGATGCCTTAGCAGTTTTGAAGGTTTAATTAGAAGAATTCAAGAAATGTTCCCAAGCAATGGGTATGTGAGAACAGAGGCATAAAGTATGGAGCAGCCTGGTATAGAAAAGAACCATGACCAGCTGTTGAGTGATGCTGGAGTATATGAAGCAAAGCTGCTTGAAACAGGTAGGTGGTGGTCAGGTCATAAAGGATCTTATTTGCCATGCTAAGAAGCCTCTTTTTTTTTTTCTTTTTAGATATACACGACAGTAGAATGTTTTGACATATTTCATATATATATATATGAGCGTGTGTGTGTGTGTGTGTGTGTGTGTGTGTGTATATGTATAACTTGTAACAATTAGTATCTCATTCTTATGGTTATACATGATGTGGAGACTCACTGTGGTGTGTTCCTATATGAACATAAGAATGTCATATCTGATTCATTCTATTATCTTTCCTATTCCTATTCCCCTCCCTTCCCTTCATTCCTTTTTGTCTAATCTGCTGAACTTCTTTTCTTCTCTTCCCTCCTTGTTGTGTTAACATCTGCATATCAAGGAAGCCTCAGTTTTAATTTTTTATGCAAGTGGTCTTTAAATTATCTTGATTATGTACTATACTTTGTAAAAAATACACTGCAGTATGTTCTTACTTATACATTATATCAAGTAACACAGAACTAATTTTTTTCATTTATTTGCTTATATATATGTATGTGTGTATATATGTGTGTATGTATATACATACATGTATATATATACATACACATATATATATATATACATACACACACACATATATATGTATTTATATATAAATCAAATGCCAAAAACAAAATTTTATTTATACATACATACATACATACTGGGGATTGAACCCATGGGCATTCTACCATTGGGTTATATCCCCATCCCTTTTCATTTTGAGACAGTGTCTCACAAAATTGCTGCAGCTGGCTTTGAACTTGTCATCCTCTGGCCTCAGCTTATCAATAGCTGGGATTATAGGTATATGCCACCATGCCCAGCCAAACTAAAAATTTTAAAAGGATCAACTAAAAACAAATATGAAGTTGTATTTTTTTTTAGAGAGAATTTTTTAATATTTATTTTTCAGTTTTCGGTGGACACAACAGATTTATTTTTTTAATTTTTTTTTTTTTTTATGTGGTGCTGAGGATCAAACCCAGCGCCCTGCGCATGCCCAGCCCTTTCTTTTTATACTCTAGTGATTTTGTCTGTTTATTTCTTAGAGGCAAATGCTCTATAGTACTTTAATATTGCTATTAACTATATTAATGTGTACTAATTATACCTGTCAATATTTAGGTCAGTTTTGCTAGTGTATAGGAGAATGATAGTGGTGGAGATGGGAAAAAGATGGGAGGTTAGGGCTGGAGATAGAGTATTCATTAGGAAGTTAATGAAATTTCCCAGGAGAAAATTGATGAGGTTCTCTGGCTTCAAGGAGTCTTTCACTGAAGAGAATAGTTTTACTCAATACAAACCAGTAAATGTAGTTCTAAATAAATGGGTAGACTTTAGGTGTTTTATAATTAGAGATCAGAGTTATTTTTTTTTTTATGAGATATGCCACTAATTGTAGAACAACATCCTTATTTCCAAAATAAAAACCCTGAACCTATTACCAGTTGCTTCCTATTCCCCCAACTCCAGCTCCTGGAAATTACTGCTTTATAACTGCGGTTTTGCTTGTTGTGGATATTTCATATAAATGAAATCATAACTAACCTTTTGTTTCTGGCTTCTTTTGTTTATGTTTTCAGGGTTCATCTGTGTTGTAGAAGGTATCAGTGCTTCATTCCTTTTAACATCTAATTTATCCTATTGTCTGGATATGCCAAATTTATTTGTTCTTTCACCATTTGGCAGATATTGGGGTATTGCTACTTTTTGGCTATTATGGATAATGGTACTCTGAAATTTTTGTATAAGTTTTTGTGTGAACATGTTTTTCATAGTCCTGAGCATATACCTAGGAGTGGAATTGCTGGATCATGTAGTAACACTTTGTTTAAATTGTTTTCTGTGCTCTGTTTTACATTGAGAGTTCCAGTTTTCTTTGTATCTTCATCAATACTTATTATTTCTATCATTTTTATTGTAGTGGAAAAAGTTAAAAGGTTAGAAAATCAGAGAAGGCTTCATGGAGGAAGCAGAGATTGGCTTGGGACTAATATATATCAGTTTGCTGACATATTAACACAGTGAGAGATAAGGACTAGGGAACCAACCAGGTAGGTAGAGGTTTCTTAGTTTATTCATTTGTTCATTTTTTATTACTTGCTCAACAAATATTTTCTGAGGTAGGCACTGTCTTTGTGAGACCTCTGTCTAATTCTCTGACTTGGTCTTCCTAGTCAATGAAACTTTATGAGAGAGCAGATCATATTTGCTTTCTCTGTTCTCCTCTCTCTTTCCTCTTCTGAGTCCAGTGAGATCTGGCTTCTGCCCAAACCTTGGATTTTGCCAAGGGATCATGACCTTCCTGGTTGGACACTTTCATATTTTACCTTTCCTAACATCTATGCTGCACTGGACACCTTTGCCTATTTTCTTGGGACCCTTTCCTCACTTGCCTTAGATATTCCATGCTTTTGTTTTTTCTCCTTTTAACTTATGCACTGTCCTTTCTAGTTATTTTTCCTTCCCTCCTTTCTCAGTGTGTCCCATCAGTGTTTCCTTCTTCAGGGTTCTGTTTCAGAACCTGTCTCGTCCTGCTCTTTTGTGCTCTCTTTACAGTCTCATTCCTGCTTAACTACTCCCTGATCTGCAGCTGCTCCTGAGCACCAAATCACCTAGCTACCTGCATGTGACATATCTCTAACTATATGTCTCACAACTACCCTTGTGTTAGCATATCAGAACTGATCTCTTGAATTTTTGCTCCTTTCTCCTCTATTATTCTCTATAAACATAAAGAAAGATCGTCTCTACTTTATTTTGAGGTAGAAATTCCTGAGCCATTCTTTTTTTTTTTCCAGTTGTAGAAGGACACAGTACTTTTATTTATTTATTTATTTATTTTTATGTGGTTCTGAGGATCCAACCCAGTGCCTTACATGCTAGACAAGCCCTCTACCGCTGAGCTACAGTCAGAACTTCCTGAGTCATTCTTTATTCCTTTTTTTTCCTTCACATCCAAAAATCACTGTTCATCTTATGTTTCTTGCTCCATTCCACTGCATATGCCATTCCATTCTGCCTGATATTTTCTTTTTCTTTTTCTTTTTTTTTTTGGTACTAGTTATTGAACCCAGGGGCACTTAACCACTGAGCCACATCCCCAGCCCTTTTTTTGTATTTTATTTAGAGACAAGGTCTCATTGAGTTACTTAGGGCCTCACTAAGTTACGGAGGCTGGCTTTGAACTCAGGATTCTCCTTCTTTACCCTCCCGAGCCATAGGGATTATAGGCATGCACCACCTGGTTTTGCCTGTTATTTTCTTTTTTTTTATACAATACCTTTATTTTATTTATTTTATGTGGTGCTGAGGATTGAGCCCAGTGCCTTGCATGTGCTAGGTAGGGGAGCACTCTGCTGCTGAGCCATAACTCCAACCTGCCTGATATTTTCTGATTCAGGTAAACATAAGCTCCTTTCAGATTGCCCTGAAATCTCTGGCCTGAACCCCTTATTAAGCTCTCACATGTTTATACATTTGTCTATTGTTACACCATATTAAACTGTGTGTGATTTCCTTTATGAGGAGAGGTTCAGAGAGTGCTTGCTCTAGAGTATAGCTCATATTCATAAGGTGAGTCTTTTCTGGTGTCTCCACTGGTGTGGTGTTCATGTGGTTTCTTCACTCTGGCAGAGTGAGAGTTCTAACATGCTCTTCGTTTTCTGTCTCCAGCACTGCTTGTCTTCTAGTAATTCTGTGTCTCTCTCAGCTCTGTAGCATTTGCTATCTAATGAACCTCAAGCAGTCTTGCCCAGTGCCCTTATTTGGTCTCAGACTGGTCGGAGACCTTCCCACTGGATTCTGGGACCCCCTCTTTATAGCTCCTTACTCTCTAGTTTATCACCTCTCAAATTCTAGCCAAACACATATCTCTGCCTCTGAGGCTCAGTGGGAATCTTCTGTTTAGGTTGTGGATTACTCTGCTACAGTTGGGAAATTGTTTTTTAATAGCCAGTTGGGCAGTTGTGAGGTTCACTTCAAGCTTTCCTTTTCTCAAGATTGTAGCCTTGTTGGGCTGGGATTATGGCTCAGCGGTAGAGCGCCCGCCTAGCGTGGGTGGGACCTGGGTTTGATTCTCAGCACCACATTAAAAAAATAAAGGCATTGTGTTGTGTCCATCTACAAAAAAGATTCTCTCTCTCTCTCTCTTTCTCTAAAAAAAAAAAAAAAAAAAAAAAAAAAAAAAAAGATTGTAGCCTTGAAGTCTCTATTTTCTGTTTTCTTCTGACTAAAACCAGTTGTTTTGTGTATTCTATCAAGCTTTGTAGTTGTTTATAGCATGATGGTGAGTGGTGCCAGTTCTTCCATCATGGCTGGGAGCAGAAATCTACTGTGATTACTTGTTTATGTGTCTGTCTGCTCCATAAAAAACTGTCTTATTCAGAATTATATCCCTAGTATCTAGCAACCTAGGTTAGGTTTGGAGTAACCTAAAGACAATGCTGGAAAGAACACTACATTGGAACGTGTGTGTTAGGGAGCATCCTTCTTTCCTCTCTCCTTTTAGTCTCAGCCCATTAAGTAGGTGCTTTCTCTCCAGGAGGGAACAACATTTGGAAGGTACCTTTTTTTTTTTTAATATTTTTTTTTAGTTGTAGTTGGACACAATACCTTTATTTTATTTATTTATTTTTATGTGGTGCTGAGGATCTAACCCAGTGCCTTGCAAATGCTAGGCGAGCGCTCTACTGCTGAGCCACAACCCCAGCCCTGGAAGTTAACTTTTGCTCTTTTCTTCACCTTTTCTCTGACTCACTCCACAAACAAGCAGAGTGATTTTTTGGTTGATGAGGTTAGAAAAGAATCCTCTTGTGTGGAGCGAGTGGCCAGTTTTCAGGGTCTGCAATGTTCTCACCCTGCAGTGTGCTACCCTGCCCGTGGTAGGACAGCCTACATTTTCCCAACTGAGTAAGTTTAATTCTATATTGGAAAGTATTAGGAAAGGCCAAGTGATTACGCATCTCTGCCATGTTC